ATGGATACGTGCACAGCATTGTGACTCGCAAAGAAAAAAAAACACCCTCCTCTTTCAAAAGAGGGCCTTTTCCCGGCCGCCTTATTCTATGGAGCACAATGACAATGGGCTACTGTATGGCCCACAACAATGGCCAAGGAAACGAGTGGCACCCGTGCCAGTGGGAATGGCAACAGTGAACACTTTAGACAGCGTTTTCCACCTTAGAGAGCGGCACAAAGCTGGGACAGAGCGCGTGGGCTGTGATCTAGGGGTTTGGTATGAGGTTCCTTTGTGCTGTGTTCTCTGAAGGGCCCCATCACACACGGACCCACGGCTGTGCCTGCCACCAAAACAATGCAGCACACTGTTCCACTGGCCTACTGGTAGCCCGCTATGCACGGCCTTCGGCCCAAAACGACGGCCTTCTTCTGTACTAGGAGCAGCCACTCCACATATTTAGGTGACAGGAGCTTAATCTTTATCAGATCGGTGCACAGGCAGACAGGGACATGTAGGAGCCATCTGTCTTTATCCAAGGAAAAAAAATCAGAGAGCTTAGCATTAGCCATGTTTGACAAGCTCTGATTCATCACTCAGTATTTGATTTAAGCTAACCAGGCTTAATTAAAAATAAAAAAGGGATTTCATGAAGAAATCAGTAGGCTGACATCAAATGATGCATTACAAGTAGTACGTGTTAAGATGACTTTCAGAAAGAAAAACGAGACACCAGCAAACTAGTGAGCTCGTGAGAGCTTAAAATGTGATCATGCTTCTGCTTCGCGAGTTTCCATCTTGTCCTTTTACTATCCACGCTGAGACGGGCAATGAAAAGTCTGGCTCTGGCTGGGCACCGAACCACATGACCCTTTTGAAAAGCCTGGCATCTTTATTCTCTTAAACCTGATTATGCATGGCAGTGCAGGGCATCCTGCAGCACTATGGCTCATGCAGGAAGACGTCAAGGGAGAAACAGCCCAAAATGTCATTTTGATGAGCCATTTAATGCCCTTGTTTTACTCCCATAACCAGAGCAAGCATCTTTTACTTGGCCTGAAGCAGGTATTAGAAAAAAAGGTGCCAAAATAATACTAGGGATTATCCCTTTCTTTATACACCCAGACACCTTGTTATGCTACAGAAATCAGCAGGATGGCTATGAGGCTGCTACACCACCAGAGGTTTTCTGTTAGCTACTTGTCATTGAGGCGTTTCTCTATAGATGCAGTTCCAGAGACATTAAGCCAGAACACATTTACTGACTTAAATGACATTTCAGTAAGAAAAGCATCTTTTGAAACCGGCATAAAAATAACAATCTTGAGGAACACTTAAAAATTCACATTTGTTTTGGCCCCAAGGCTCTGCTCTTTCCATCTCCCACAAAGATTAGATGAGATACACAGCTAAAAAGTGCTTCATTAAAAATATGAGGCTCTTTATTCGCTTCTATTCATAACACAAGTGTCTCCTTCAGTTTAGCATCTCTCTTTTCTCTGAGCAAAACAGGTTCTTTTTTAAAATCTACTCCAGTGTGCTTAAGAATTCTCATCTATGCCAAACAGCACATTTGAATGTCATTCTTTTCTCTGACAGATGTACTGAAGGGATGAGTGAATGGATCCGAGCACATTGTTTTAGTTTGAATATAGAATGAAAAGGGTGAATGAGGCTTTTTAAAAATTACTCTCATTGCTTCTCTTAATCAAGAACAGATATATGCAAACGAGGTGAATATTTAAGGTTATCTGCCTACAGCCTTTTGAGTCATTCTTGAAAACTATTCATGTGCTAATCATCAAAGTATTTCCTGAATATATTTTCTTTGTTGAATGAATATTACCTTCCCTTAACCAAGACATACCCAAACATTCCTGGACCTGCACTGAGTCTACTGTATATAGGGCTATTGCATCTTGCAATACACTTAGCTAAATGGACTGGAAAGTGTGCAGTTTCCAAACCGAACCCTCCCACTTCTCAGGTCCCGCATCAGTGCCCTGGCTATCATTCACAGGTCTCAGCAAAACCAGAGGTGTCATGTTATGAAAGTAGAGCTTAGCTCTTTGCCTCCTACCAATCTGTTTAGTGTGTACGCTGAGATTTCTCTTGCCAGGTCATGCAGGAGAAAAATGCTTCTTTTGGCACTGTGCTGAAGCAGAGTGTTTAGTTCAAAAGATACAGCATCTCTGAAAATAGCTGCCAAGACATTGGCACTTGGAAACGAACATTCTCGCACAGCTGGTACAAACATTTTAACTGCAATGCTCGAGGGGAAATAGCACTATAAGTCTGGGAAATAAGATAAACCAACCTAGACTACACTTTAACAGCACAGATTCTGTTTAGTGCAGTGAAATGAAAAGTAATTCAAGTAACATGGTTCAAACAGTCTAGAAATTTAAAGAAAATTAAATGACCATTGTCTATGATTCTAGTTGTAGGAACCATTAAATGAGCTGTATCAAGACTGCATTAAAAGAAATGAATGGAGAACTAATAATGTGACAAATTATATGCCAGGGAACATTGTGGCAAACACACCTCACCTATATATAACATAATATATAACATAATATAGCAGTATGATATAGAAAACAACAAGCATGGATAATAATAATAATAATAATAATAATAATAATAATAGCATGACGTCTGCCATTAGAACAACAGTAGTAACAAAAAAACTACTACATTGAGGTTTTAAGGACCTGCAATGCAATCAAAATATTGGCTAAAAGAGTCTTTTATAGTCGCTGTGGAATAAATGTATTTTACCTGCAGTCCTGGAGCCGAGTTCTCTGATCGTGCGAGTCCAGGCTTTCCTCTGAGAGGGGCTGTGTGCTTGGACGGCTGTGGAAAGCGCTGTAGCCCCTTTCAAACACGGACTGCAGGTGCTCTCCAGTTACAGCACTGTCCTCAAGGCGGTAGGCTTTTTTCCCCACCCGTATTCCGAGAAGCCCCGCCTCCCGGCAATCCTAGCGTAGGAGATGTGACACTCCCAACCAATCACAGCACAGGAGACGTGACGTCACTAGCCAATCGTAGCGCAGGGGCGGGGCCTGTCAGGAAACGGGTGAGGAAAAATATCGCTGCCTCGAGAGCTCACTCATCCCTAACTCAGCCTCATGGCTAACTTATTATATGCCCGGTCACGTTTTCACAGCCATTAGGAGGTCGAGTTGTTTTCCCTCGTTGCTTTTACATGTCTACGTTCACATATGCTCGCCGCACCACCAGGGGGCTTCAATGCCATTTATATTACTGTTTCCAGGTCTGTGAGGTGCCACTAAAGCAGAGGTTCCCAGTTTGTGCTCGTGCTGTCTGAGAGGAGCTGTAAGGGTGTGATTTCAGTCTCACAGTGCCTGGACGTGCGGACAGCACTGTGTGACCTCAAGCCTGTGAGCTACATTTGTAAATACTTGACCTTGACATTAAAATCTCCAGTATTTTACTGCACCTACTGCAACACCAACAGGCCTGTCCTAGTCTGGCCCCTTTTAGATTTGATTAGCTCGAACCACAGTTTAGTCTTTCATTCTTGTAGGCTAGGTAGAAACATATGAACCAGAAGTACAGAGTCATTATTTATGATTATCATGCTGGATTAATTCAGTGATCAACAACTCATGTCTCCTACAGGAGAACACTTCCTACAGATCAGTGGTCACCAACCCTGCTCCTAGAGATCTACCTTCCTGCAGCCTTCAGCCTTTACCTTATACATCTAATTATTGCCTTCTGATGTCCTTGATTAGCTGAACAAAATATGTTATAGTTGGGATACAACTGAAACCTGTTGGATAGAAGATCTCTACATCTACAAAGCTTAGTATTTCTTAAAGGGCCCATATTATATATTATTGTATTTTATTATTACATTTTTTAAGGTCCACTTATGGCTTTTGTGTGGGCTTACATACCAAAACATGTCAAAATGTATTTTTACATTAACAATTTCCCACCTCTTTATCCCTTCTAAATCCTTGTGTTTTTCATGCTCCCAACACAACCAATGCAACTAATTAGCTTTGTCTGGGTTTCAAGCCTTGTGTGGGTTGCACTGAGTGTGTCAGAGCAGAAAACTCACTAAAGTGTGCAGAACAGGGGGCCCTGCAGGACCAGGGTTGGGAAACACTGCCAATTAACCAGGCTGTTTTCGTTATTGTGCCATTAGGACTGATATATGCAAATAAGCTCTGTTCTGATTGGCTGCCGTGTTTGTGCTTGTGCTAGTGAAAGGGAAGTGAAACACTGCTTAGAACTTCGATGTGAATGGGTGGGGCTAAACTGCTATAGGCTGAATAGGTGGATAAAAGTAAATGTATTGATTTCCGTGACATCACACAAAGAATGCATACAGCACGGGCTGTTGTTACAGATTAGTTTCCTTATACAGACTACATGAACTGGGGAATTAACAGAATGTTTTGAACCTTTAACAGTGTTTACATACTACATCAAACTACATACTTCATCAAAAAAATTGGCACTTTAAACTCATGATTAGCTATATCTTTTCTGTTAATTTGGATTGGCTGTCAAATTGTCAGACTGTCAAAGGAATTCTAAAAATTGATCCTTTTTGTGATGCAGTGAATTATTTTTAAAATTTTCTTAAAAAGCAAAGTATCTCACTTCAACTTCACTCGAAAAAAAGAACTTACGTGAAAAAAGAGAGCTTCTGTGAAGGTATGGTTATTTTTGGCAAAATACAATATAGACAAATGTAAATAAAATAAAGCCCTTATGTTTTTTGTTTTCAAAAGACCTTGAAATGTATTCCTGCATCCCGAATCATTAAAAGAACCCCTTAGCAACTGTAACTTTTTTGCTCTCATCTGGTGTTAAATTCTCACTCCCCATATATATGCAGAGAACCTAGTACAGCGTCACGCCCCCTCCTCTACAAATCTACGCTTAGTAGTCTAAACCATAGACTCTCATATACAGTCTTGAAAGCGAAGGACTTCATTTCCCACAGTCCAATGGTCGCGCGTGAAGAATTGTGGGTAGTCTCAACTGGACTAGCGCACTGTAGCTAGTCGTTAGAGAGAAGCGTTGCTAATTCTTTAGCGTGATTTACTTTTGTAAATAAATATATTAATATCGTTTCTGTGCCCTGCAGCCTGCCGTAAACAGGAAACTATGGCCAGTAAAAAGCAAGTCCAGGTCAGCGGCAGAACCCTGCAGTTTTTAACGGAAGCCTCCGTGCTGTATAAAGACTCGTGTCCAGAGCAAGCGCGGTTCCTCATGTAAGTACAGGTACTTCTGTTTCTGGGTCTTTGAGGCTTGTCTGCAGTGTTTTAGAGCAGGACCCTCCTCATGGAGCTCTAACTTACCTACATGTCCGGCTCTCACCATGGCTTGGGATGTCTTAAGACACGTCTGAAGACATATTAAGACGTCTTGAGACACGTCTTAAGAAAAGACGTGTCTATAGACACAGTCTTAAGACGTCTTGACCAGGATGTAGAATGCATATCATTTATTTTTAATGCTAGGTTGCTACAAAAATTGAAAAAAAGCATTAAATGCTTTTAAATATCTTACTATAGTATCTACTATACTATACTATCAACCCTTGAAAACAGATAATTAGTTTTACAAGAATTTAATTTTTAAATGAAGTTATTATCTGTCATTTAAATAACTTGTAATAGTAATGAATACACATATATAACTGTAATTGAAACTTAAGAAAAATGAAATCACTATTATTTTACATTTTATTACATTGTTAATCAAACTTTTATATGTCTGTAATAATACATCAATTACTTAATAAAAAACATTAAAATGATCAGTAGACGTTTAAAGTTTTTATGTATGTTCATTGGTAGAACTGCAAAAAGCTGCAATTAACAGTAATAAGAAAATAGATTTAAAAAAATGGGTATTAATAAAGACATTAGACAGAAAAGTAGAGTACTTTTATATTCAAATAATTTGTTCTGCAGTCAAAAGCATAGCCCATAAATCCAGCTGCACAGACTACGAAAACATGGATTACACTAATTTTGCCAGTTAGCGTTTAATTTTAGAATGTCTTCTGTTGTAATGGCATTGGTTTACCGTTAGGTGGCAGACCTGCCCCTTCACTCAAGGTCCTGTCACTTACACGTGTTATTAGTTCTGGCTGTGATCACAGGGGAACGTTGCACTTGAACGGTCCGCCAGCTCATAATTACTATTAGTGGGAAGCAGCAGTTTTCCCACTGGTGCCATTAATTTATGACAAGAACTAAAATTACTTTGGATCTTTGGTACTCCTGTTGTAGTGGTGCATTCACAGCCTTTGCTTTTCAGTGTGTTCAGTCTTACACTACAGTAAATAAAAATATGGTATTATAAATATAATATAATACTGTAATGTAATAAATCTGTTTTTGAAACGTTGATATGGCTTTTGGTTTTATATATCTCTTCCCATTCAAAGAGATAGGAGCCTGATCTTTTATGATTGGCAATAACTGTCCAGGGGCGTTGCAAAGATGGCCGTCAAGTGGACAGACTTTCTTATAAGAACTTTCATTAAGCCCAGTGTGGGCAAGTGAATGCACACCAGTGTTAGCTTGGTGCTATCATAGCACTGCAAATCCCACAGTGGAAATCATCATTATTGTAGCAGTGTATGAAATTTCACAGCATGCTTGAGGTGATGTGGCAGAGGTTCAGTGTTGTCCTTGATTCAAATTGCACTGAGAATCAAGATTGGAGATCACATTTTAATACAATTAATTGTGCAACCCTAGTTTGTATTAATATATAAATAATTTAAATGGCCATGTGTCACAGGGTTTACCATCAGCAGTTTTGTCAAATGTTTTCATCAGAAACTTCTTTTTTGTAGGGTAGTTTCCACAGTGAATGGAACAAGACTGCAAGGTTCAGACATTGCTTTTAGACGTTCTAATGGTGCAGTGTTGTCCAACAGTTGTACTTTATTTCCAGCTTATAGTGAGACCTGAACAGAATGCATATTATGCTTTCTATATGCATTGCTCTCCACTTTCCTCTCTCTCAGATGTAGAAGCACGGGTGACTGAAGTTAGGATGGCCAGAATAAAAGCTTTCAAGGTAGTAGGTAAAACGTTTTGATGAATATATTAACAATCTAGTGCTCACAGTAGACCCTCCAACTCATGCTGCTTATGGGTGTCTTATGTTGTAAATATGTATTTTTGAGGTAAAAGATTGGACTATTCCTTTTATTTTTAGAGCGTTATAATCCTGACAGATGGCTCTTTTGCCTCTGCATTGCTGTCTGCATCTTTTCATTAATATGCTTTGTCCCACTACCACAATAAAACAGAGCACATCCTGCTGACAGCTTAAAATTTAAGTAGGCTATAATAGGCTATTCGATGCTACTTAACATACCAGAGTGGACCTCTTACAGCAGTCAGATAAATCACTTCTAGCTAGCAAACTGAATTTAATCTAAATAATTTGGTTTTACTGTTTATTTGACATAGGACATACTTTGGAGTTCGGAGTCTGGAACAAGTGTTGATTTTGTAGTTGCTGTGCATCAACCACCAGGGTGGGTATTGGTGAGACATAAATTGGTCAGGCTCTAATCATATTTATGATAATGAAGTTAGGTGGAGAGTTTGTGGTCTTAATGCCCGGCTGAGGGCAGCAAATGACAACATCTGGAGGTGCATTGCTTGTACACAGCAATGCCCATGTGACTTGCTGTTCTTTTTTTGTTTATGTCTGTGTCCCGGCTGGCACGTATTGAACTCAGTGCACACTGGTGTGTGCCTCATAATAACCTATAATCTTACAACCCTGTCACACAAGTACTGTTCTCAATCTCCTGTATACATACAGTTGTATGCAAAATTTTTGGCACCCCTGGTCTGCTGACATGTTTTGTTGATTTTTTTTTTTTTCTAAATGAAAATAAGTCAATGCACAATTGCAGTTTATTTGCTGAATTGAACCTACTGGGGCCTGTGCAAAAGTTAAGGCACATTTTATATATATCATTATTATCATTTTTTATCCTGTATGTTAAACTCATCAAATAAATAGAAATTGTGCACTAAAATTCACAGAAAATGTCATATTTAAGTTTGTTTGTGCAATCAGGGGTGTTCAAACATTCGCTTGTGACTGACTTAATAAACAATGTTTATTTTTTCATCAAACTGTTTTTCACTACCTCCGTACCCATGAATGAGATTTATCCCAAGTTATTGAAAGGTCAAAAGTGATTTAAAATAGTGCCTTAAGCCTTAAATCCTCTGAATCCCACAGCGTTAATCTGTTAGCGCCCAACCTGTGTGTGATTTAAGGAAGTGGTACTGATATTATGTTGGAGAAAATTGCCCAGATATGCTGGAATTAGCGATAGAAACCCTGCATGGCTTGGACCAAAATATTTAGCATCCTGCTTGGATTAATAGTAATTTTGTTTATGATTTAGCCTCTTATTTTCAGCTCTTGAACCACTTTTAAAACAACGGGGGAGATGTTGTGTTACTGAGCAGATCTAGATCATAGTGTCCTGGCTCTTGGTGAAGGACACTGTGGCTGTACTGCTTTAATTCTTAATCATTAAATGTAGATGTGGACATCACTGTGTTTGGGTTGTCATGGATGTTTCGTGAGGTGTGGCAACAAAATACTGACCCAAACCTCAAGGGTTCTTCTGTGGACTTTTCTGCCATTTATGGATGATGTTACATTAATTGAATGGAAAGAAGATTACCTTGGAATAGTTTGTTTAGCTTTATTTATGTGATGCTATTTATGGACAAAACGTCATTTCAGTCCACAGCCAGTGAGTCTTTGTCTTATTGTACATATTAAACCCTCTACGCATTTCTGTTGTCCCCACAAACGCAAGGTGTCATTGCTCTGACTCACACCAAGCCTGTACGCAAGTTACTGGAAGCAGCATGTCAGTTATGTGGACTATGACAGCCGATGTTGATTAAGTGATTTTCTGAGGGTGCCTGAAAATCTGAGGTTGCTTATTTGGCAGTTGGAATTATCCCTGTTAAGCCCAATCGTCCATGAAGTCCAGTTGTAGCAGCTGCCTCTAGATCACCACGGGGTGTTCGCGACAGTCCGTGGCCAGCTGTGGTCAGCTTTAGTGGAGACTGTGCTGGTCCCTTTGGCTGGGACTGCCCCTGCCATGTACATTAAGGACATCTGCTGACTTTTGTGGTGAACAGGACATTCTTTCTCGATGTTATCAGGCGTCCACTGAGAGAGCTCTCTTCATCCCGAGAGCTTTGTTGATAGCATCTGAAACAGAGAAGGTTTTGTGTAGTCCCGGATGTTTATCTGACTTGAGTGTGCACTTATAAGGAGCTGCATGTGAGGTATTTTAATTAGATTTGCACAAGAGGCCTTTATGGTGGTGTCACATCCCTATAAGACTTACTCAGATAGAAGTGTTTAATAGATGTGGCAGGAGAGGACAGGTTCAAACACTGCTGCTTTAGCTTGTTCCAAACACTTCCCATCTATTTTTGAACTTCCCAGACTTACGGTTAAATCTCAGAAGGTTTACTTGTCAATTAAACATCGATAACAGCCATGAAATTGATAGGTAGAACTTATTGTTTTTTCATTCCTTTTTTATGAATGAGCGTTCTGCGCTTCATTCCAGGATCTGAAACCCCAGTCCTGATGCGACTTAATTAACACAGACAGCAGTGAGTTGCACTGTGACCTAAAGCACAAATGCAGGACAGTGGCGTACTATCATTTTCATTCATTGTGAGGTCTTTTTATACAAAGTTACTTTTTAATGAATAAAAAAAGCAGATTTTTAATGTGGCGAAATAAAAAATGTGCTTTTTTTTATTAAATGCTTTTATTATTAAAGGGCCCATACAGTACTTTTTTTGTATTTATTTCTTTGCTTGAGGTCCACTTATAACATTTGTGTAGTTTTATACACCAAAAATGGTCATGATTAATTTTTACATGGAGGGGCTCTTTATCATTGGTTTGCTTTCACACACAAAAAGCAGTGAAGAACAGCACTTTTTGGATACATGAAACTTGAAAAGGGGAATGACGTGATAAGTCAGATCAGTGACAGTCACGTTACAAAATGAACCAATCACATAACAGCATGGGTGACGCTGGGAATGGACAGCTTCCACATGCACAGCAGACAGCAGCAGATCGGTTCTCTGGACCGCTTCCGGGCTCGAAAACAGCTTTCACGTTTGACCAAATGTACGGAGCTCACTGATCAAAAAAACTCTAGTGTGAAAACACCCCAAGACTCACATAAGAAAAAATTGTTCTGATTGACTGTCCTGGTTTGTGCTTCATTCAGAAAGCACAGGCGAAACACTGCTTAGAGGTTCAGTGTGAGTGGGTGGGGCTAAACTGCTGTGGGCTGAACAGATGGATATAAGTAAATATGTTGGTTGTGTGTCTCAGAAGCAGTGAATACAAAATGGGCTGTTCTTGCAGCTGTTCGAGCTGAATTGCGTTTACTTGAGGAAGCGCTGTAATTAGTAATTACTGACAAGGTCCCTGCTTTTAATCCAATACTAATCTGCGATGTCCGTTTTTACACGTTTTTTTAAGTCTGCTAAATAATGATTTTGGAGCAAATTGCCTTCTATAATTTGTCGAACTCCGAGCGCCCTCAGTAATAGTTGTCCTGTTCGAATCAACATCACAGTGATATAATAACAAAACTGAGCAATGGAAAATGGTGCCTCCATTTTTCCATTTTGAGTAGAGTCAGCAACAAAGTTATCTTTTTTCTTTTAGCCACTGTGACTCAAACATGCGGACATTGAGTAACAGCCCATTCCAAAAAAAAGAGTTTAAGGCTGTACAGAAAGTGCTGTGTGCATGTGATGTTTGAGGCTCTGCTTTGGCTCAGAGCTCTGAGTGCTAAAAGATGAGAGCAAGCAATGTGCAACCATGAACTCTGATGTGAAAAATAGTTTTAATGTAAACGTGTACATTTTCAAAACTTGCTGTGCATTTTTGTTTTTTGTGGCAAAACTTGGACTCGGTGTGAAAAGGCCTCAAGGCTTTGTTGCCCCCTCTGCCGCAAATGAAAACTGACCTAGATATATTAATTTTGTAACTGTACATACCTTGATATGTACCTACAGTGGTGTGAAAGTGTTTGCTCCCTTCCTGATTTCTTATTCTTTTGCATGTTTGTCACACTTAAATGTTTCAGATCACCAAACAAATTTAAATATTAGACAAAGATAACATAAGTAAACACAACATGTAGTTTATAAATGAAAGGTCTTTATTATTAAGGGAAAAAGAAATCCAAACCTACAGGGGCCCTGTGTGAAAAAGTGATTGCCCCTTCTTAAAATGAGAAACAAAGTAAATGAGATCTATCAGTCTGGAAAAGGTTATAAAGCCATTTCTAAAGCTTTGGGACTCCAGCGAACCACAGTGAGAGCCATTATCCACAAATGGCGAAAACATGGAACAGTGGTGAACCTTCCCAGGAGTGGCCGTCCGACCAAAATGACCCTAAAAGTGCAGCGACGACTCATCCAAGAGGTCACAAAAGACCCCACAACAACATCCAAAGAACTGCAGGCCTCACTTGCCTCAGTTAAGGTCAGTGTTCATGACTCCACCATAAGAAAGAGACTGGGCAAAAATGACCTGTGTGGCGGTGTTCCAAGACGAAAACCACTGCTGAGAAAAAAAGAACATAAAGGCTCGCCTCAGTTTTGCCAGAAAACATCTTGATGATCCCCAAGACTTTTGGGAGAATACTCTGTGGACTGATGAGACGAAAGTTGAACTTTTTGGAAGGTGTACGTCCCATTACATCTGGTGTAGAAGTAACACAGCATTTCAGAAAAGGAACATCATACCAACAGTAAAATGTGGTGGTGGTAGTGTGATGGTCTGGGGCTGTTTTGCTGCTTCAGGACCTGGAAGACTTGCTGTGGTTAATGGAACCATGAATTCTGCTGTCTACCAAAAATTCCTGAAGGAGAATGTCGGGCCATCTGTTTGTGACCTCAAGCTGAAGCGCACTTGAGTTCTGCAGCAGGACAATGATCCAAAACACACCAGCAAGTCCACCTCTGAATGGCTTAAGAAGAACAAAATTAAGACTTGAGTCGACTAGTCAAAGTCCTGACCTGAATCCGATTGAGATGCTGTGGCATGACCTTAAAAAGGCGGTTCAGGCTCGGAAACCCTCCAATGTGGCTGAATTACAACAATTCTGCAAAGATGAGTGGCCAGAATTCCTCCACAGCGCTGTAAAAGACTCATTGCCAGTTATCACAAACGCTCGATTGCAGTTGTTGCTGCTACGGGTGGCCCAACCAGTTATTAGGTTTAGGGGGCAATCACTTTTTCACACAGGGCCCTGTAGGTTTGGATTTCTTTTTCCCTTAATAATGAAGACCTTTCATTTATAAACTACATGTTGTGTTTACTTGTGTTATCTTTGTCTAGTATTTAAATTTGTTTGGTGATCTGAAACATTTAAGTGTGACAAACATGCAAAAGAATAAGAAATCAGGAAGGGGGCAAACACTTTTTCACACCACTGTATGTTTTTGCGCAATGAAAGTATTAATATTTATCCGTAATATCTCCAGATGTATCAATTTTCCAAAATTGCTTATCATCTCAACTGCAATTAAATTCTCATAATGCATACTTCAGCAGAGAGAAGCTGCGTTTTTTTAAAGGGGTGTAAATCTGACTTTGCAGTGATTCAGTTCAGTTATGATTCTTTAGGAAATGATCCAGTGCATCATTAAAATTTCACCACAATTTAATTTGATTATTTTTTTGCGGAAGCTTTTTTGCAGGACAGCAGTATTTTTACATTTGAAAGTTTTCTTTTGGCTAAAAAAAATGAGGACATACTCTCTGAAATATATAAAATATTGGTTTATCAGTTTTAATAATCAATTCTAATGTAATCCAGTGTTTCAAAATCAGTGCACTTGAATCACTGCCTTTAAATCAGTGCATCACAGTGGATTGATGCATTTTTACACCTCCAGCTTTGGCCTTGACTGACATGTTTGTTTGGCTGTGTGAAATATTTCAAGATATTTAGCGTAGGCTAGTTTGTCAGCACATAGAGCATGATGGCTGAGTGCTCTCTGAGGACTCATGGTGCTTGGCACTGGCAGTAGATCACTGCCGATGCAGGCACCTGCTAGCTATAAGAAGGTTTATTATAATAAAAAGCATCTGTTCGTAGTTTCACAAACATTGCACATATGTCTCAACATGCCTAATTTTAGTGTTCAATTATTAGCATTATGTGTACTAATTTTAGAAAGGATTTAGAAGGCTTAGGTGAAGTGGGTTATTAAAATAGTGCTGTATTCCAAAAATAAGACCAATGCACACACAGGCTCAAGGGAAATGAAGGCATTGAGTATTATTTTGGGATGGCTGTCTGTGAATTGTTGATGCTTATTATGTGTGAGCCACTTTGGTTGGAGAGAATAGCTCACGTTTCCTAGTTTTCTTACATTAGAATATAATGCTTGGATTGTGTCGAGCCTATTAAACATTTTTGTTTCATGGAAACTGACAGGATGCAGTGTGACGAAGTGCTTCTCTCAGCCACATTCCTGCACCTTGCCCAGCTGATCTGTTGGAAACAAATTGCAGGATATTTTTATAGGAAATGAAACATGAAACCGTTGCAGACTTACCAGATAACCATACCTTTTCTTGTCTTTATTTCAGGCAGAGGCATCAGAGGAGTGGTAAGTTTTATGTGGCAATTGCACTTTATTCCTTCAGTGTTGTTTATTTTCCTAGACTGGATTGTCACTCTGACCTTGGCTGATCTTTGGTAATGGAGGTACAGTGTTTATAAAACACTGTGGGGACATTTAGAGTTAGTAAAAGAAAAGTACCGCCAGCTAAGCAGTGCCCTCAGTCCCATATAATAAAACCAGGCTCCACACACACACACACACACACACTGGCCCTTTCCCAGGCCTAAAGCCTGCCTCTCAGCAGAGGTAGATGACCACGTATTGGAAAAGCTGTAAGAACTTTTATCCGATACATGAAAGAAATACCTGCCAGCCTCAGAATAGCACATGATATCACCTGTTGTATTTAGTTAGCAGGCCAAAACTCTCATGAGGTATTGTCCTGTGTTTTAGCTCCTGCCCTGCCAGAGTCTGTGCTCTGCCCCTTCTGTTTCCAGTGGCGCCAGCCGGGTGAGTGCCATGTGCGGGTGCGGCCCAAGCGAAGGCCATCAGCACAGGTGAGGAAGCTGCTCAGGAAAGACGCAGCCCGCAGGAGACTCAGTGCAGAAGAAAGCAAAGTTCTCCAGAAATTCAAAAAGGCCTCCAATGTTCTGGTGAGAATCTACATCAGACTGAGTGCACTGCACTTACAGCTCAAAATAAACACCACGAGGAGCTCTGTCTAGTTGAAGTCATGTTTTAGTGATTCCCAGTCTAGGTCTTAGATTACCCTTGTCATGCACATTTTTGCATTCTTCTTTCTGCTTTAACACACACTTTTTCAGTTCAGAAAGGGCTTATTAATGACCTGGTTGGATCTGGGTTTATAAGTAGGCCTGTTACGATCATGAAATTTGAGCTGATGATTAGTTATTATCCAAATAATAGCGAGTAACGATTTAATTGTCTGTTTTGTTCTAAAGTCTAAAGCAGTTTAATTGGCTGATGAAGTATCTTGCTTAGCTGTGTCTTTACTTTGCAGCTAACACAAGGTGATACACTGCACTGTAGTGTGTAACAAGAGTCTAACAAACCAAAACATTGCATTTTTCTATTGAGACTGAAAATTTAAGCGAAAAACACTTGTTCAGCATGAATACATGCTAAAATTTGCATTGGCTATCCTAAATATCAAATTAACAAACATTCCTCCAAGCGTGTAATAACACAGTTATATCTTTTCCTAGACTAGATTGTCATTCTGAATTTGGCTGGTCCTTGGTTGTGTTAAACATTGGCCCTGATCCTTGATTAGTTATGCTCCAGGGTATATTTTGGTTTGTCCATCTGACTTTACATGACCAAATCTTAAGGCAAATTATTCAGTAACTGCATGAAATAAATGCAAATTTTTATTTAATTAATTAATTAATTTATTTATTTTTTGTAAAAGCTCCCCTCAAATTAACAGAAAATATGTTTTATGATCATACACATATTGCTATATGCTTACAATTTACTGCTGAAAGCCAAAAATCTTAGACGCTCTTTGTATTATTTTATAAAAATATTTTTTACAGAGCAGATCACTGAAGAGACACCATCTGTTTATAGTTTATAGCCCAGATTTGTGGAAAAATGGGTCAACTTTCAGTAGACAAAAAAAATTGTTCAGCTTCTTCTATTATAAGGGTTTAAAATTACATTACCCATCTATTTGACTGGAAAGAAGACAGTTACAGCTCTCAAATGACACCCACCTTTTGAATGTAGCTTATGAAATATGAAAGTTGTGAAGAATATGACAGAGTGCGTTTTGGAAACACCGGTGGTTCCAAGGAGCATAAGAGGCTACAAAGTGATTTCTTTTAGGTGTGTTTATTTGTCTGAAGCTGATAAACTAATAAATCTGTCTGGATCACACTGTGCTTGTCTTGAAACAGTATGATGGATTGTTAAATTTAATTACTATGGAAAATAATAAGTTAGGTTAAATAATTGCAATTGTCTCAAATAACTGCGATCAGGCAATTATCTGTGACAGGCCTATGTGTAAGGGCTGGGCCAAGATATACAGAGCAAGGGAACTCCTAGTCATGCAAGCTAGGTTCCTGGACACTGTCAGAGAGTCTAGGGGGTTTTGTCACTCAGTTTGGCCACAAACCACCTACTTTGACAGGTCAGGTCTGTTTGACTGATAAGAGCCCTACAGCAACATTAAAGGAGCTGGAGGAATTTCTGGCAGGTACTGGTCACTCAGTTCCTGCCACTTGCTTGTGACATTGTGCACATGTCTGGACTATGGGATATTGGAGTCCATATAGAGTTTACCCAAAAATAAATACATCACCCAAAACCATCTATTGAGTTGAAGGTTGATGTTTTTGGCTTGGATTCTAAAAGATATATTTGGTGCAACAACAATGTAGCTCATCAGCTAAAGAACACCATACCAACTGTGAAGCATGGTGGTTGGAGCATCATGTTTTGGGACAGATTCTCTTCAGTTGGGAAAGGGGCTCTGGTCAAATTAGATGGGAAAAAATATCAAGATATTGTCACAGAGCCTGCTGGCCTCTGTCAAAAAGCTAAAGATGAAGAGGAATTTCCCCTTCTGTGTTAATGCTTCAAACCCCACATCCAATTAAACCTGAGAGTTTGAGGAGCTTGAGATACTTTTTTGCAGTAGAAGGAAAGGTCCAGGCACAAAAAAGTACATAAATATGTACTGCTGTTATAAACGTAAAGATACTTCGACAAAATATTAGTTGTGGGTGTGTGTATGCTTATGCAGTCAGGGTGTTTCTCTTGCATTGTGGTGTTTCTAAAGTTGCATAAAAGATGTCTGATGTGATTCATCTTGATTTCTGCTGGTTTACCTCACCAAACAGCAGCAATTTCAATAAGGGTGTGCAGAATTTTTATATCTACTGTAGATGATCGGTGTACCTCTGTGGGTGTAGCATCTGAGACTTAGACTAGGGTACTCCAGTATTCGTAAATGTGCATCATAAAACAGACAATATAAGTCTGAGGCGAATCTGCTCTCACTGAGCCTCCGGTTTTGACGTCGACTGGTTTAGAGTAGTTTGATCAGACGTTTGCGTTTTAGCTTCTCGGAAATGCAAATGCCATTGCTCTGTTTGATGTCTGTCTCTCGTCCACATCAGCAGGGTGGATAACAGACAGATAGCAGGAAGTGGCTGCTCACCCAGCTAAGGGCAATGGAAATGCTGTGGCCCATAACAGGGGCTGTTTCTGTGCCTCAGGCTGAGAGGGAAAGTACCATCGATGTGGCCCTCTGCATGTTTGCCATTGACTCTCCAGCCTCATTAGTATGGAGAACAAGCAGGAGGAATGCTAATGTGGAAGCCCCATCATGATACTTTGGCTTACTCTGTGGAACTTGACCACCACAGTGGAGACTTTGAGAAGTTAATACTTAAAACAACTCTGAAGACTAAGCCACAAGAATGATATCTCTTCTAAAGCTATCGTTTAATGTGCAAGGCGATCAGCAATTGCTATGCAGCTTCAGTCGTGCCTTAATCAGAAACAGAAAAGCTCCTGATTCGTCTTGCTTTTCAAGCTTAAATCTCGTAGCTAAGTGGCTTTGTATTGGATGATTAAACTGGAAAAAGATCTACTGTCTTCTGCAGCCCTCTTTGAATGTGAGGTGACTGCTGAGTAATTTGGGGGATTTTTTGAGCTGTTTGGTAATGTGTAATAGTACTAACCCTCGGTGGCAAACAAGGGGTGGTATACGTGCTACTTCACACCGATACATAGCTGGGTGTTACTGATACCGAGTTGCTGAGGATCTCTGGGGGAAGATTAGCTGGAGTGTGCAGATGCTGTTCATAGCATTTGTGTGTGTGTCACATGTGAGCGAACTGCTTTTCAGTGCACAGCATCTTTCTCCACCCCCTTGTCATTTGCATTTGTTTTCATTTGATGGATATTTCTAGCCTTGCAAATCATCCCTAGGTATGCATATTAGGAAAAATTATCCTCTCAAAATATGTAGACACAGCAGCTTAATTTAAATCCACTCACCAAACAAGGTATGATTAGTACTGACACACAGCCAATAATAATTTGGTCTGTTAAAATCATTGGCAATTCCCAGTGCTTCAGTTTATCAAGCATCAGCAGCTTACCAACGTACAGCTGGGTGCGATGGCTCCTCTGCTGCCCAGCGTGTGTGTTCAGTTTGGGAGGAATTGTGAAAAAGTGGTTAGATTCTACTAGAGCTAACTTATTTTGCACATTCCAGTTCCTTATTTTGATCCTGTATGTGCATCTAGCTTCAGATTACACAACATTTACCTATACCAGGCTTAAAAAGCAAAATGTTTCCACAACGCATCAGTTATGAGTGGAAATCATCACCTGGTGGCTTTGTGTCTTTTGCAAGTCACTTAAAGCAAGAGGCAAAAATAGACTTGAAGCAAAATATGTTTTGTGCGCATGTGATCCCTGCTGCACGTGTCCTGTGCGAAAGGCTACGCTGATGGGATTTGTTTGCCACGTTTGACTGACTAGATTGCAACCAGAATAAGCTCCATGATTTTGCTAGATGACTCAAAACATCATGTCTTACTTCAGCAAGGGGTCAACCTGACCTTTCAGGCTTTTTACTTAGCAATGATATTCAATCTTTGTATTTCTTTCACATTGAGCTGCTCTCGGAAACTGTTCTTCGTAATTTCCAGCGTGCCTGCAATTATTTAAGCCACTCTCGTCTTTGTGTTCCATCTGCACCTGGCTTCAATCTCCATGTACATGTACTTTGTGATATTCTTTGCGTACTTGCTCTGGACATTGTTGTCCTTAGGAATGATGATACATAGGCACGTCCTGTTCTCCTAGTAATGGAACACGAAGTCTGCTCTGTCAGTGGAAACGGTACAGTTGGTGGGGATTGTGATGCCTCACATAACACATTCTCCAGTGTTGACCAACTTCTTTCGGCAGTGATTCTCCAATGTTGGAATATCCAGTTGCTGGCACGGTGCCCAATGCACATATTTACCAACCTCATAGTGTTTTTTGAGGTGGTCTTTGTCTCCTCTGACCCGCATGCCCGCAATGTACTTGTGTACATGATGTATTGGTGGTGGTGTGGTTAGCCTTTTTTTAAGGCCTAAGCTTAAAAATGTCCACCTGGAGTGAGATAATACACTATCTACCAGTGTTTTGTGTAATCTGATTCAGCACAAGCTCAGCTTTTCAATACTGTAGTTACTTATTAGCGTTATTGAACACAAATGCTAACTATAAAATACGAAAGTAGTATGTAAAGCAACAACAAAACAACAAGAAAAAACATACAGAACGAAACAATTGGAATAAATAATCTGAACAGTAAACCACCTTATGAGCTTATACATACACACTTACTGTCTACTACTACATACCTACTACTACTACATACTGCTGTCTTAAGTGCTCTACTGTTGCATTTAATATTTGTAAGCCAGTCTACCTTTTCAGTCTTCCTAGTTTGCCCAATTAATTAATTAATTAATTAATTAACAGGGCCTTTGTTGTTGTATTTTGGGCTCATTCCATTTCTGGACATTGTTCATACATGACTTCTGCTGTGAATAATGCAGTTTTAACATGCATTTTTGGATGCAGCGATGGGCGATGTTTATAGACAATGGTTTGT